AGATAATGCACTGTCCTGGGGGTCACTGTGAGGACCCCGGCCTTTCCTCTGAACAAGATGGGAGCCATTAGAAAATTCTGAGCAGAGGACTGATGTAGCTGCCTTATGTTTTCACAGGACTACTCCAGCTCTGATTTGGGAGCACCCTGAAAGGCATATTGATAAGAACCTGCTGCCATTTTTGAGGAGATGACAGCGGTGGCCGGAGGTGGTGGGAGGCAGCCAGATCCCAAATGCATTTTGAAAGTGGAGTCAACAGGATTTGCTGATGGACTGGATGGGAGAAGGAAGGGCCAAGGATGATGCCCATGACTTTTAGCCTGAAGAACTGGAAGGAAGAAGCTGCCACGGAATGAGATGCGGAGAGGTGGGGAGGAGGACAGGATTCTTAGGGGCGATCAGGGCTTTGGTTTCAGACACAACGGGCTTGAGATGCCTGTGAGATCTTGGGGAGAGGCTACTGAGGGAGAAGTTAGGCGAGTCTGGGGTTGAGTGGAGAAATCGGGAACAGAGGAACACCTTTGAGAGTCACCAGGTTAACAGATGGCAAATGAAGCCATGAGACTGGCTAAAAGCAGCCGGAGAGTGGATGGAGTTAGAGGAAAGGGGTCCAAGGACTGAAGCTGGAGGCTGGGAGTAAGCAACAACTAACTAGCAGGGGAGCCAGAGGCCCTGTGAGGCCAGAATGATCCAGCCCTGAGTGGCCTCCCCAACAGTACCTCGCTCTCCCTCTCAATCACACTGGCCTTTCATGGATCCTAAAGCATGCTGAGCTCTCCCTGACCCCAGGGCATTAGCACGCACTACTCCTCCAGCCCCGAAGGACTTGCTCCCAAATCAGACCCAGTTACTCTGCCCTGTAGCTTGCTCCTTATCCTTCAAGGGCCTCTTCACCACCGCCCCATGCACATTCTACCACAGCACCCTACTGATTTCCTTCACAGAGCTGTTCACAGCTGGCTGCTCTGTCATACTCTCCCCCACCCCTTCCTTCTTCTCTCCCCCTCTTCACATCAGAGTGCCCCAGGTCGCAGTCCTGGTCTCCATGGGTCCCTATCACCACTCTTTCCTCTGGTGATCTCATGCAGTCACACAACTTTATCTCTGTGCCAGAGACTCCCAAATATCTGCATCTGCAGTTTAGGCTTCTCCTTGGAACTCAGGTGCTTATATCCGGCCAGCCATCTGACATCTCCACTTGGAGATCTAATACATTAAGATGTCCCAAGCCAGTCTCCCAGTTTTCTCCCCCCCCCCACAAACCTGTCTTCACCCTTCTCTAGCTCCCTTGACATCAAGTCCATCATTTCAAGTGCTCAGGCGCAAACCTCTGAGTTATGTTGAATTCCCCTGTCTCTCTCCTGCCTTGTATCTCATCCATCAGCAAACCCTGTTCACCTTCCAAATATATCCAAATATATTCAGAATCTGACTACGTCCTCCCTTCTCCACTACCACCCTGATCCAGGCCACCAAACCTCTCTTGCCTGGATTGCCGAACAGCCTCACCTTTTTGCCTCCGTCCTTGCCCACTCACCTTTACCCATTCTCAATACCGCACCCAGACTGATTCTTTTAAAACATGAAGGTCTCCATAATCTGTGCTTCTCTGCCTCCCCAAACATACTTCTCTCTGGTTTTACCTTTTTACTCACTCCCTCACTCAATACTGGACTCTTGGCGGTTCCTTAAACTTTTAAGCACACTCCTGCCTTAAGGCCTTTGGTAACTGCTATTCCAAGATCTGAAACATCCTTCCTCTAGATACATGCTTAGCCAACTTCCTTCTATCTGTGCTCACATTACCTTTTTGATGAGGCCTACCCTGATCAAACTACTTCAAACAGTCAGCTATGCCCTCCTTCCTTGCCCTCCTTATATTTTCCCCATAGCACTAATAATATTTTCATATACGATGACCAGGGTACCAACTCATCGGGGCTTACCTGGAACTTTCCCAATTTCAACACCAAAAGTCCAGCATCTTGGGAACCACCTCAAGTCCTGAGCAAACCAGGACGTTGGTCATCCTAAATATAATTTATTATTTTTATTTTCCAGGTCTCCTCAAGATCTATGAAATAACTTCCACAAGGGCAGGGATCTGCGACTCCTGGGTTCACACAGAACAGTGCTTGGCACATAATAGGTGCTCAATACGTAGGACTTGACCACCTGCCCATCACTACCTTAATCAGCCTGTTGCAAGGAGTTACACAGCAAACCAGCTGCCAGTAATTAGCTGTATAATTCTGAGTTCTTCAAATTTAATTCCTCTAAAATTTGAAACCGTGGCCTCCTAAGATACGACCATCGAAAGAAAACCAAATAGAAAAATTTACATACACGTGATTCTGTGATTCCTACCATCCATAAGCCAAGCTGGGATCTTCTCAAGTCACTACTGTTTTCAAAAAGTCCACATGACCTACACGTTACAGGTTTCACATAAATGGCCTAACTCAGAGAAGAACCTTTGGAACCTCTTCTCCAGCCCTGAAACTCCGATGCAAATCAGCAGTTTCCCGTACATGCAGCCAGGAAAACAGGCCAATTCTTACCTCCCGTGTAGAGAAAGGAGCCAGACAGGCCTCCAAAGTAGATGAGAGCCAAGTGCTCCAGTTTCAGAGGGGACAGGTAGTAGAGACAAGCGGCACAGACACAGCCCAGAGTGTAGAGGAAGACTCCAAACCGGACAACATCCTGGGGCTCCAAGATTCGGTCCACCAGGGTCCTGTCATCACTCTTTTTGTGGTCAATGCCCTTGGAAAAGTCATAGTAAGTGTTGACCAAATTGCCAGCCCCGTGCACGGCAAGGACGGCCACGGCACAACCCACCAGCAGCCTGGGATCCAGGACGCCCTGGGATCTGTAGGCCAGGGCACTGCCCAAGGCCACCGGGGTAAGTGAGGCACTGAAGCTCCAAGGCCGCAGGGCCAGCACGTAGGAGGCGCATTTCTGCCTCCAGGAGCGTTGGGGAAGCCTGTCCTGCTCCGGACAGTCGTTCCCCAGCAGGTCCCTGTCCCCGATCTTGGCCGTCTCTCCCGCCTGTATGTTAATCTCCCCCGGACCGTGAGAGGCCGCCATGGAAGCTGCGCGTGGCTGAAGTCAAAGTTAATAGTGAGCCACCCACGGCACAGCTACCGCTCAGCGGCGAAGAGGGGCGGGGCGGCCGGACCGGGCAAGGCTGGGGAGGCGGCGGGCCCCGGGGGCAGCACCGAGCCGACCAGGCAGCCCACGAGGCCCGACGGCACCGCCCCGACCTCCTGTCACCTGGGCGAAACCTGTCTCTGGACCTCAGTCCGCGGCTAGAGCCCAAGGCCGAACTGCGGCCACGCGCCTTAAGATACTGGAGCCGCCATCTTGTGCGCCAGCCTCCGAAGGCCCGCCCGGAAACAGGGACCGACCGCGCGGGCCGGGCCCGTGCTGG